GCTCAGTCATACCGGTCCGCCACCTGTAATTGATGTGATGATACTTGCTCGTGAATACATTCACATGGCTGAAGCATAATAGTACACATGTCACGTACCCTTTAAAAATAAGATATACAATGAAATATATCATATTTGTATTTTCCTTGCCATTCTTGTAAAATATTGGGCATCTCCTCATCCAGATCCGTAACTTGCTCGCTGTCAATCTATTTTGAAATCGGTTTGGTAGTTTGACAGGTTTAGATGAACTGATTTGTATTTCACAACAAACGTAAAGTTTACTTTTTTGATCAAGGTTATTCATCCATAAGTCATAATAAACAAATAGATATTGGGAATCAGTTCTATTTGTTTTTTTTTTGGATCGATTCAAAAATGTACGATCCAGCCGACTATTTTAATATTCCCAAGGCGTCACACGCTGAAACTCGAAAAATAAAGTCGTACAAACCATTTGTGCAAGTTGCAATATAGCTCGACCTCCGAGCATTGCATCTTCGTGATTGTCTTTTATATCGATGTTTATGATGTGAACCGGTTTGTTTCGAGATTCTCCTCTTTCCGTCAATTCTGGGTTGCGGCGTAAAGTTATTACATAGAAAATGATAAAAATGATCAATTGTAAGAACAAGCTACCTTCACAGATAACATCAAAGCATCTTTCTTCGCAACTTATAATTACGTCAAAATCATCTTTCGCATTAGTCGACCATTGCTCCGGAGCCAGTTTGATCTTGCGATTTCTATCCAACATATCCAACAATCCATTCTGCTTGTATCTTTTGATCGCAATATAAATTAAACTAGGTTGAAGAGGAATTCGCGAAAAATAAAGAAAACAAATGAAATTACAGAAGTACGTACAATTTAGGATCTTTACTCAATAGATCTTGATACATGTAATCGTAAGGCGTTCCGAAGGGATAAATGTTTGGTCTTTCGATACTAGGTCCTGGAAGTCTCACGGCTGAACCAGTTCCGTACGAACTTACTTGAAACCCGCACTTACTATGAGAATAATTAAATCAAAGCATGGCATGGAAAGGTAAATTCGAAAAAAAGAGCCCACTTACGCCAACACATGATGAGCCTCCATACTACGATTTTGATTGCTCGCGCACACTACAGCATAGGACCTTCCCATTTTTCGGTTTCTCACTCTGCATTTCTGTCGTTTGGAAATTTTATATTTGCGATTTGTCATGTGATTTAGGATGTCCTGACGGTCAGGTTTTTGACTGACGCAATGGGTGATGTTGTAACTCTTCTTTTGGACGCGACCGTCTACATGTACCAGGTATGATGGATGATACATTGAGCCCCAAATCCTAAATGTTGGGTATTACTATTTGTTTATCGTGCCGCACTCAAAAGTTCCCAGGGCCCGATTTGTCACTAATAAACATTCACCAATACCCATATTTGTAAACTGTTCAAGATAATTATGGTAAAATTTAATTGTTTACATCTTGAATAGAATTATTAATATACGTATATAGAAAATTGTTTACAGGCTAAATGATGACCTAATTGTGATAAAAAAAA